ACTGACTCCCTCGTGCATGTGCAGTCTCTCCAGCAAGGCACTGCAAACTACTGCAGTGCAGTCTGAGCCACAAGGAGATGGAGATCTAATCAATGGGCTGCAGCTGACTAAGCTAAAATGAAATGCTTGCTGAGCAGAACAGTCCACTGTCATATCCTGCAACGGGAGAGAGGCTTCAGGGAAAACATAGCCTTTATTTTCAAATAAATAATTAAGATCAAGCTGCTAAAGCCTTGAATGCTTGCAATTCGTATTTGTGGAGCCACAGGGAATGTGTTTCTGAAGTCAGGGTATCACAGACAGAGCAAAGGCACAATGCCTTCTGCACTGCACGTGACAAAACAGGCAGAGCCAAGCAAGGATCAAGGAGTTCTTGTCCAAAACCTGACCTACATTAGCACAGAAGACCTTCATGACTCAGAACACCTCCATTACATAAGCATATGTTGTTCATCTTCTGCATAACAATGTTTATGTTCATTTCCCCCTTCAAGTTCACATTTTCTTCTCAGCCTTAGCTCTCCATATCAAACAGATTCTGCTCATCCAGCTCTCTGCTATAAAAATTAATGCAAGATGAAAAATTTGACTTGTGCACATTCTAAAGAAGAGAATTCTACATATTTAAAAAACCCAAAATTTTCTCAGTTCATTCTCCAGTTGCTTAGTTCTGTTGTCTTAGCACTGACTACTGACACTGCTGCATGGCAAAGGCAGGTTGTACAACCAGGATGTCACAGTGAATAAAACTGCTCCTGTCTCTATCTGAACCACAGCAGGAGGTTGCATCTAGGGGAAATAACAGTTAAATCCTTAAAATAGATCACTGCATCCTGTAATATAAAATTGGTTATGAAAGGTCTTGGGATTCTCCACAAAATAGACTTTGTAGGTAGGAGGGAATAAAGGAAGGGGAGAAAATCAGGAAGAAAAAACGGTTCTCATTTCTCAGAAGAGTATCCTCAGCAACTGCAAGCACTTACTAACTAGTATTTTACAGACTTTAATAAAATTCCTTTCATTCATCTTCTTGTGCACGTTATAATCACAATCTTTTCAATCCCACTTCATGCAAGTTTGTCATTACTGTCTTCTCAACACTGCTTAGATCTGCAACACCTTCTTTGAAACTGGACAGGTGGTATCCCATGCATCAGCAACTGTTACCTCGTCTAGATTTGTACAAAGGCAATAAAAAGGTGGTGTAGTTTTCATCAGCCTATTCCATATGGACCATAGCAATTGCAGCACTCAGGTAACCTGCCTCCAGTCCTAAAGGAGATGCTTCTGGATATCCTACAGGTATGGTCACAGGGAGCTGGGCAGATGTATTCTGTTTCATCTGGCATGTAAAATACTGATTTTTAAAAAGCATAACGATGGTTCAGAATGAAAATTTGACACTCTCCTAAAGAACAAAATCAGCAGAAATATAACTAGCTGGGATAGCTACCTTTCTAATTAGGAAAGGTCTACACAGCTTTTCTAAGGGAAAGTAGCACATCACCAACAGTTTTCTCTGCAGCATTTGTGCATATAGGCAAGGGCAAGCTAGTCCATACAGTACAGCTGAGTTTTCAAAAACATCAGCCTCTCAAAAGGTCCACACTGCAAGAAATTGCACTGCAAAACACATTTCTCTCTCATTCGAGTGGTATCAACTATAGCTGTCCTCTAAAGAGGAAATAAACAAGCAGTTTTGAAATCAGCCAAATTCAGAACATGATTTCCTTTATATCAAAGTTTAACTGTGAGGCTGGTTCCTAACGTTTAACAAAAACTTTGGCATGAAAAGCATGAAAATTTTGATTTAATTTTCCCCCTCTCTTTATGGCATTTATAAGCAGCACAGTAAACTGATAACTAACAGAGCTGCAGCAGCTGTGACAGCACTTAAAGCAAGAGTGTGAGAGAGCCCAGGATGCTTCCTTACACACCTTCTGGTCTCGACCATCTTCTGTTTTATGGAGCAATGTAAGTTCCTGCAGACTGTTGCCCAGCAGACTTTGTAACACGTGGCAATGGGCAAGCAGTAGAGGGGTGAGACCACTCCTATGAAAGCAAATCTGTGCCACAACAGCTCTTCTCCAAGGACTAGCATTTGTGCTAATATTAGCATGCCACACAAGGGAGATCAGTTTTGTTTTCCTAGAAGCACAGGATAAATTCAGATTCAGAATAAATCTGGATTTAGTTACGTCAAGTGGGCCATAACTTCACAAATGCTGATCTATCAAGTTGAAGTGTCAAGTATCCATCCTCTGTAGAGATATAGAGATCAAATCCATAACACTCATCAAAGGCTCAGGAGAGTAACAGCTCCCTGTGTAAAAGCTGCTGGGACAGCCCTTGAAATGATCCCACTTCAAAGCTTTAAACAGTCTCTAGAAAGTAAGAAGGCAAGAGGTAAGTTAAAAAAAAAAAAACAAAACCCAACAAATCCACAGTATCCTGAAGACCTGGATCATTATCTGTATTATTAGAAAGTCATTCAGAGTTTTTTTGAAAAGGTGATAATAAGATTGTGGCTCTGAATTTCAGAGGATATGAAAACAGCTGATACTTTTATGGTATTATTCATAAAGTATGACAATGCTTCTGAAACTGTAGGAAACTGCAGAGAACTTACATGAGCAGAAAATTTCTGTTAACAAATTGAATATGACTGAAAGCAAAATCCAGACATGCTTCCAAAAAAAGGGAGTGAGCCCCTTCCCTCACCTGTCTTGTGTATTGTACCTCAGAACCAAACCACAGAAATACTAGGCTCAGGATTTTTCAGATAAATCTGAAAAATGTCTTCTCCATGGATAAATCAATGGAAAGAGAATGGAGAAAAAAGAATTTACCTTACTGGGTTGAAATAATCTCTTCATTGAAACAAGTGATAAAGTTCTTATTAAAAAAAACCCAATGCAAAAACACCACAAAATGTTTCATCTCTCTTGCCTTCATACCACCCTTCCTCTCCATCTCCTTCCTAATCCTCAGTGCATTACTTGGGCATCAATCACTCTGTGCTTCTCCAGAAAAATGCCTTGGTCTGATAAGTGGGACTCAAAGTGGTATCAGGGACACAAAAGGACCAAAGAGCCCAATGACTATTGCATAACATTAGAAGCACTGAAGTGAATATTTATGTGGTTTTTTTTGCTGTATCATTTCTGTCAAAAAGCCTGACCCCCTGAAGTGTGGCGTAGGAGAACAGGTACATTAGGTATATGAGACTACACCCTGTATCATCCTCCTATATCCCAAATGAATGGAGACTTTTCACCACTTTCAGGAAAGCACACTCCCACCCCTCAGGGGATGGCATGTATCTTTTTAGGAACAGATCATGTCTCATTCATCCTTCTATGAGACCCAGCTGTGCAATGAACCACCATTGAGCAGAATGAAGACAAACCTTCTCAGAGTCCTGCACTCTGACAAAGACCCCCTCATCCACACCAACCCAAGCAGGACACAGCTTGCAAGACACAGCTGAACAATCTTTTCCCTGGAAAAGGCTGGATGTAGAGCTGTTTCTAAAAACAGGGCCTAGGAGCAAACTAAAAGTGAAATAATTTTAAATTACGGTGAGAAAGGAACAAAATAGAGGATTCAAAAGAAGAGACATATGGAAAAATTAATTTCTTTAATTGTAAAGAAAGAACAGTGTTCAAATAATGGGACTTGAAATAGACATAAAGAATGATTTCATTAAGAAAAGAAGGAATTTTGCAGAAAATCAAATACCAATTTCAAGCTGTAATGGACTTGAATTCTGACTCCAGAAAGAGGAAAGGAGTGGGACTATATTTTGTGAAGGGCAATATGGAGAAGGGTTATCCCCAAACTAAAAAGCATTGACAAGGAAGTCCAGTAGTATGTAATGTGTGTCTCTCTAAGAATAAGAGGCAGGCATAACCTTTGAAGCTGCTCCCAACTACAGAGAAAAAGAAAACTGAAAAGATTTATGAAAGAAGGAAAAAAAAAACAAAAACAAAAACAAAAAACAAACAAACAAACAAAAAAAACTCCCCAGCTATATTCATCTGCTAAAGACACAAAATTTGCTCACTGGCCTTTGCTTTCTTCCCACTCCCCAAACATACCCTGCACTACAGAGTCTCTGTATTTAGCTAGCACATTATCAACACTTTCCAGAACAACAATTATCTTGCAGGTGGAAAAAGTGTGCAGATCCAAAGCTGCAAGCCTAGGATGATAAACAGAGATATTGTATCAGCACTCTTTGCTTGCACTGTGTTCTGAAATAAATCTAGGAATTCTCTGACACATCCTAGAATATCTGAAGCTTTACACATCCTTATGAGTGACCCCAGATAACACCATGCTGGTAAAAGAACTGAAGATAAAACCCATATTACATAGCACAAGTCATGCCCCCTGCCCTTACCTCCCCTCCAGGCAGGCACACTGAAATATCCCTGCTAGGAAATCTGGATAGGGGCAGTAGACATAAAACCAAAGCCAGGAAGGGTGAGAACAGCATTACAGGCTGCAGCTCACAGTAAGCTCAGCCCCAGAGATCAGGTCAGCTTTTAACATCTAGCACACTTTTTCATCAAAAGCTTTAAGAATACACCAACCTGTTTCCCCAGACCACAGAGAACTGAACTAGACCAGTCCCCTGGGGCTAAAAAAGTTACATGGCCAGCACTGGGCTCACCCTCTTTGTTAGTCCATATTGTACTCAGTAAGTATTGCAAGCCTGTGGAAAACATGATTATCCTAAAGGAAACAAAAAAAACCAAAACCAAAAAAAACACAAAAAAAAAAAAAGCCACACATCTTTTAAGACAAGATCTATCATCCCTTCTTAATCCCCAACTCAGCTGCAGTCACTTGCTGCTTCTCAGCTTGCAGAAAATGCAGTGCAATATAATGACCACGCACAACAGCAACAAAACAAACAGAACCACAAAACCTTTCCATTCCTAATCAGTTGCAGAAATGGAAAAATACAAAAATACTGCCTGAAGTGTACTTACTGGTCGAACTTCCCCAGTAGTGTTGGTGTACTGGCGGGCCAACCCAAAGTCTAACATGTAGCACTTCCTGTACGTTGAAGGTAACCGGCCCATGGCAAAGTTGGACTGGACAAAGAAGGAAAGAAAAGTCAAACTGATGCCAGCAGCTTGGGTAAGAGTGGCCATTTGTTAGCAAAATTTCATCATGTAGCTCCACATGCTTCTGGTGGAAACAAGTCAAAGAGATTCATTTTAAGATGCACTTTAAACATCATGATTAGAGAATCACTGCCTTGATAAGAAGTTCACTTTGCAGATGAGAGACTGAGGAGTCTCAAAATTGCTAAAATTCACACTAAGTTAGCTAAATTTCTGCTTCTCTGACAAAGAGCTACATTTAACACCACCAGTTCTGCAGTGAGAACTCCATGATTTGCATAACAGGCTGGAGTTCTTGTAGGCAAATGCTTCTGTTCATAGTTCAGCTGCTAGCATGAATTATTCTGCCCTAACTCCCAGGATCTCCATTTACTGCATTGCACTGCCAAGATCTATCTGAACACTGAGGCATATAGAAAACACCAGGCTTGATTCTCAGTAAATAAACCAATAACAAGCAAATGGAGCAACTCCTTTTTTTAACCTCAATCCTAAAGTTCCATCTTTTACCATAATGGGTGGCTGCTAAAGGATTTATAGCCAATTACATCAATGACTGGTTTTCAGCTGAATCCAGTCAGCCAAAAGCAGCTGATTTTAAAAGGAGCAAATGAGTTTGCTAGAAAGAAATTGGTCACACGTATGGCACAGCAACAAGTGTTCAGGTCAAGTAGTGAAGAGCTGTAGGAAAAAGACTGGCTTCTACAATGAGACTTGGAATTACTGTGCTTTGCCTAAGCAGATGACCAACAATGTGACTGTGTTTCTGACACTGGAAACTGTGCTCCAATTCTTTTGGCAATCACTCATATAGGGTTAAGAGCATGATTTAGCTAAGTCAAATACATGAATTAAGATTTATTCAAGTGATGCGTCACGGAACAAGACTTCCTTTCTGAACAACTTTTACAGTGATAATTGACTGGGCTCCAAAGGGCCATTCAGAACTAGACTGCTTCAATCTGGGATCTTGACTGGTGCAAGTATGACTGACAGCTACCAACCCACCATGGAGCAGCCTCTGCCAATAAAAGCTGGTTTGCTTTGCACTTAAAGGAAGGACAATACAATATTAATATTCTGTACCTATAAAAAACACCAAACATATCAGACAGTGGAAGTGTGCAAGGAAGCCTAAATGTATCTGCTGAGACCTGTCCATACTCACACTGTCTTTACTGACTCAAGCAGAACAGACAGACATAAAACCAAAGGAAAATTTCCAAAACAACATACAGGCTTGATGTCCCGATGCAGGAATCCCACAGAGTGAATGGCTTCTATTGATTCCAGAATCTGTTTGCCCAATCGCAGCGTTGTGCTCAGGGTGAAAGTCCCTCGAGGCTGACTCCTTCTGAGATCTGCAAGATTTCGGCCCTGAAACAGTCAATAGAACACTTAAACCACCACAGGAAAGCAGAGCCTTTCACAGCTGTGAGTTCTAACATGCAACACCAAAAAAGCAGACATGCTACCCAGAGAGGAGCTCATGCCAAATAAAGCTCTGCTTTATTTCTTGTAAGATCTTGCAGTCGTTCATTTTAGTTTTTAAGTGATGCATTTGCTGATGAGAGGATACCAGATTGTTATCTTGAGAAGTCAGCTGGTCACTGTTTGTACATTAGGCATGGCATGGACAGCAGTGCCTCAGACTGGAGAGACCAGCATCTCCTCACTGTTAAACCCAGACCATACAGAAGCTGAATTTAGCACAACCTCTGACTGCTCTCTGAGCCTTCTAAAGATTAAAGCAGTAAAAATTCCATCAGCAGGTCATGGTGCTGCAGTTTCATCAGAAACTTCCTAGCACACATTGTCTGGTTCAAGCTCAAGCCAGCATTGTTGTGGCAACACCACAATGGGGAAAGTTGTCTATCAAGAAAATCATACCCAAAATCAGGAGAGGAGGATTTTTCCACTGACTTAATACTTATCAAAACAAATTGCTAATTTACCTCCAGTTAATTAAATTTCTGAGGAAAAACAAAAGGGCTACCAGCTATGCATGAAAATCAAGACAATTTAGGAAAGAAAAAGGAAAAAATGACAGAGTAAATGCAAGAAAAAATCCCAGTGTTATTTCCTGTCTGTCATCTCAGTTTTGTCTGTACCTCTTTAGCTTTGTAAAGAGAAGCTACTAAAATGACTGTATTCCATGGCAGAGTGCTCTTGTAACCCACAGAACTAATGCATTTACCAACTCATTAAAAACACTAGAACAGGAGCCTGCTGTTTCAGAGAACATTCACAAGGAATAAAAGCTATAGGGACATGCTGTTCATTGCTATCCTTTAGAATCTCTTGATTCTGCTTCTGTAAAGACATATACAGAAGACATCTAGCATCTACAGAAGACATATGCTTGTAATACAAGTCCACATGAATTCAAGCAAAATTCCCAACAGCAAATATATAAAAAAATCCAAACAGCTGAGAAGAAAACAGAGATTGCTCTCCAAATACCATCTCTTCATCCACTTATTTCCAGTTCTGAAGTTATGTACAGACATCAAGGTGCTAGCTGGCTCATGTAGCATATGACAAGTCTCTCAAATTGTTTTGAGCCATGTTTCACTTCAGGCTCTGGACCCTTGAAGAATCACACCTGACACAGGCCAGCTCATAGATACAGCCAAGCCACGGCACGCCACCCAGGTTTGCTCCTCATCATGAACAAAATCAAACTAAACCACTTCTCTAGTGGTTATCTTCTTGAATTTCTGTGACACTTTACTAGAGGCAGCACAGCTTTGTCACTGCTGTTCTGAAACATCAAGTTACTGAACTGACAGCAGATCTTGCTTTCCACTGTAAAGCTGCTCCTTGAACACCAGCTCTCTTATCCAATGATAATATGGAAAGCAAGGCTCATTTTTTCAGCGCTGCACACTGAAATGTGCTGTAAGTTTCCCCACCTGCTATTGCTACCAGGAAAAGACACAAAATGAGCATTATTTTCCAAATAAACACTCAGGCTGATTATGGACCAGTGCAGATGCAATGAGTTGCAAAGCTTGAGAGTGGAAGCCTCAGTCCTGGTGACTGAAGGGAGAACTGCAGTACACAACATTCAGAGTGACACGTGATAAACCATGTCTCAGCAGGTCTTGAAGGAGAATTTTAGCCTGAACAGTGATGGTGCAGAACTAGCTAGTGCCTTATGTATCAACATCTACATCTGCAAATAATGAAATTATTTTTAGCTCTGCCTACTCTACGAGCTCGGTTACATAGTCAAGAACAAATTAGAAAGTAAGAGAATCCATGCAGAGAAATTTCTTTCCAAGATAAAGTCTCTTTTATCAGGCTTGGTAAGGACAGGATTGGGAGGGTAGAAGCCTTGTTCTTCCATGAGCTCCAGGCTAGCCCTTTCATGAATCATATTCATGCTCACACTGCAGCAGCAGCAGTAGCCAGGGTTGTTTAGAAAGTAAAGGGTTTTTTCTATCCATAACAGCAGTTGGGATGCCAATGGTGCCTAAAAGGCAAAATCAAGCACCAGGAGTTTACTGGTTTTATACAACTGCCTTGCAAAGCAGAACAACAAAAGAATCAGAAGATTATTTTAAAGAAATACTGGGATTTGCTGGTACCTGTTTTGCTTCACCTACTGCCTAGCAGTGCAGTCACCATGTGGTAGCTACCCAAGTATTTGTCCTTATTGACTTGATATCAGCAGTGTTCAAACAGGAGTAAACACTTCCACAGCAGAAGCTGAGTTACTGCTGAGCTTGGGAGAGAGAGGGGAGCCAGAGATCACGGCCTTTCACAGAGAAACTGTGCTGCTGCTGTGACACCACGGCTCACTCTGAGCTCTGATACCAGGCATATTTTGAATGCAGCATCACAGCTCAGCAGGAGGTATTCCAAAGAGCTGCCACTGCTGCACAATGCTGTGGGTTGCTCCTGTGAGCATTCTGAATTGAGTGCTTTCCCCAGAAAATTGACAGAAAGCCATCTTAAACAGAAAAGCAGAGCTATGAAATATTTTAGCACATCTTGACGACTGGAGCCATCCCAAGGGATATCAAGAGCAGCACCAGCCCTTCTCACCCTCTTCCATTCCACCCTCTTTCTGTGTACAACCAAGTCTTTACACCAGTGCTTGCCCTTATTCCCTCAGTGTAAATCCTTCCCAGTGATGCCATCTCTATTGGACAGACAGGAGAGGCAAAGGACAGAACTCACCTGAAGCTGCATGACCACATAATTAAACTTTTCATTTCTTCCACAGCCAATAAATCTGCAAACATGATCCTTCCCTGAAAAGAAACAGAAATTAACAGAATAGAACACAAGATAACAACGCTGTGATCATGATGTTTAGAGAAATGGTTTCTGATTCAGGGCTGGTACCCATAAAATGGTATCAGGTAAGGAGTTATGCATAAAAAACTGAGCTCAGCTCATTACACCAACTTTACTCAGTACAAGCTGACTTGTACACACCACCACCACCACACTTACCTACTAGCACTGCTTTCCCTGAAACAGCTAATCTAATGCTACCTCAACATGAGCAAACCCTGATTTTTATAGTCAGAGACAACTGAAAAACAAAGATGTTTATGGAAATACTCCACTGAAACATAAAAGCAATTTCATAAAACAACAGAAAGAAAAAAAATTGGGGCCATTCAGTGTCAAGTTCTGGCATGATGTTAGTACAAACTACACCTATGCAGGCAAAATCAAACTAACTCAGCCAGCCCACATTACTCAGCTGGTCCTCAGGGGGGGAGCAGAGGCTGTGGTTTCAGACCCTGACCTGTAATGGATTTGGGATGGTTTGCTCTCTGGTTCTCGGAAGGGGAAGGATGAGGCATGAATTCCCTGGTCACCATCATATTTTTCTGAAAAATCCCCTTGCCCAGGATTCTTCTCCTGGGAAGCTGAGAAGCCTCAGAGAGAAAGCAAAAACAATATTATCACATTTGCTTCTCCTGTGTTTTGCTGCTTTGGAATGTGGTTGGAGATTGTTTATCCAACATGTGAATTGTTTTAACTTAAATGACCAATCACAGTCAGGCTGTGTCAAGGCTCTGGAGAGAGTCTTGATTTTTTCATTAGTATCTTGTTAAGCCTTTTGTAAGTATCCTTTCTCTATTCCTTAGTATAGCTTAGTATAGCATTCTTTAATATATTCCATAAAATAATAAATTAGCCTTCTGAGAACATGGAGTCAGATTCTCAATTCCTCCTCTGTCCGGGAGACATCTGCTGATAACAGCTATTGAATGTCACTACATGACTGATAAGAACTACAGCATCGCATTGGGAGATGCTCTGCCCAGAGGGAGGAGCCAAGTGTTCCTACCTGGATATAATCTGGGGATTCTGGAGATTCTGGAACACCAGCACGGCTTCTCCACTGGATTTCCCAGAGGACCAGCTGCCTCTTCTTCCACTGGATCTTCAGAGGAAGACTACACCTTTTCTACAGGATCCCTGCTCCAGCAGAACCACTCCTGACACTCCAGGAGGGCTGCAGACACATTTCCAATGGGACTGCTACCAACACCCTGACCCACAGGGTGTCAGGTCATATTCTGACTCTGTCAGTGTTGGTTTGGTTTACTGCATTGTTTATTTTATCTTTTTATTTTCTTCCCTAATAAAGAGCTGTTATTCCTGCTCCCATATTTTTGCCAGAGAGCCCCCTTCATTTAAAATTTATAGCAATTCAAAGGGAGGGGGTTTAGATTTTCCATTTCAGGGGAGGCTCCTGCCTTTCTTAGTAGACACCTGTCTTTCCAAACTAAGACACCATGCTGTGCCTGATGCCCCCAGGACAGGTTGTCCCTCCTGGCTGCCAGGGCACTGCTGGCCCATGTTCAACTTGCCATGGACCAGGATCCCCAGGCCCCTTTCCATGGCACTGCTTTCCAGCATTTCATTCCCCAGTCTGAGCATCCAGGGTTGCCCCAGCTGTTTTTCAGTGCCTCCTGGAATCATCTTCTCAGTAACTTCACCAGGCACTGAACTGAGACTGAAAGGCCTGTAGTTTCTGGGGTCCTCCTTCTTTCCCTTCCTGAAATACAGGACAGCATTCACCAGCTTCCAGTCAGCTGGGACCTCTCTGGATTCCCAAGACCACTCAAAAGTCATTGAGAGAAGGTTTGCAATGACATCAGCCAGCTCTTGGAGGATTCTTGGCTGAATTCCTTCACAGATTTGTAGGGACCCAGCTGGAGCAGCAGACTCTGCACAATTTCAGAGTCAACTGGGAATTGATCATTCTCACAGTCAAGATCCTCCAAGCTCAGGGCACTGAGACCCCCTTAGTCCATCAGCTGTGTTGAAGACAGAGGCAAAGAATGTGTTAAACACCTCTGCCTTGTCCCTGTCTCTGTGAGGTGACCATCCCCATCCTGCAAGGGGCTGATGTTATTTCTACACTGCCTATTTCCATGAAGATATTTGAAAAAAATCCTTTTCATTGTCCCTGGCAATTCTGGCCAGCTTCAACTCCAGCTGAGCTTTGTCTGCATGAATTTTCTCCCTGCAGTGGCAAGCAGCATGTCTGTATTTTTCCCATGTCACCTGGCCTTGCTCCTACTGGGCACATGCTCTTCCTTGACCCTGTTTCTCACATACCAGCCTGAGGGTGGCTACAGGTACTGGGTGCCACTGGTTTTCTGCTGTTGACAAGCTCATTGCAAATTCAGTGTTGATTTTGACAGGTTTTTGGTTTCCTGAGGAAACCCCTTGAGATACTGTGTGGATCTAGAACGCATCCTGGTGTGGGTATTGCCAAGAAGGAACCACTTGGAAGCCTCAGCTGTCCCACCCACCTTTGTGCCACATGTCCCAGTAGGGCTGGCCGTGCTGCCTGCCAGTGTGAAGGGACCCTCAGAGCCAGAGCTGTCACTACAAAGTCAACCTCAGAAAGAATCAGTTCTGTTTCTTTAGGATCTCATGACACTCCTGCGCTTCGGCAAACTGGCCACCCACACAGGTGGCAGAGAGGATGGACAGGAGCAAGCCCACACTCATCCCAGCCATGATTCACAGATTTACACTGAGTCCCACTTGCTTTGTTCGCCTTTCAGAGCACCAGGGGATGGATATTGAGGCACAAGCCAAAACACAGTGACTGTTTCTAGTGACAATGAGAGCTATTGTGTGGTGAAAAGGGTAAATTACTCTTTTTTTTTTTTTTTACTTGCTTTTATTTTTTTAAATAATTGCAAAGCACGGACACCACGTGCTTTTTGCTGCTGCAAAACTACAGATAAGCATTAAAAACCAACCCTCTGCCAGGGAGAATCTGCCCACCTAAATCACTAATTTCAGTGAAACCAGAGAGGTAGTGTCCAGCAGTATGACTTAAGAAATATCCTTGCTAATTTCTAAAAATTCTTTTAAATCAGTTTCCTCCATAAAACTGCTATTTTCTGTATCACAACATTTTACAGAAAGAAAAAGCATTTTAGTTTTTATTATTTTTAAGAATTTTTTGCTTGTTTAGGATGATAACGTGTTTCTGCCTACTACAATTTTTGAAAATGATGAATGGACTGACAATTCTTGATTACCTGCACCCCCAAACTGACATGATTTTATACTGAATCCTCCTTTCCAGTCTAAAACAGGCTCAAACCAGTTGGTCTTGGGAATTTAGGCTCTGCCTGGAACAGCTCTGCCATGCACTATCTTGCAACACAAGCAACACCAGGAAAATAGAAGAAAGGAGGTGAAGGAAAACTATGCCCATTTCTGCATGAAACAAAAAGAATATAAGAGAGTGTAGGAAAGGCAGGCCACATTTAGAAGTGCTGCATGCACAGCCAGCCAGTCCTACAGGATGGATAAATGCCTGCAGCACCAAAGCCTCTGGGTTCCAGAGGCTTTCACTCATTTGTCATCTAAAGGAGGCACCAGATTACAACTGTTTGCTCTCCTGGAGCAGTTCATGCCATGCTGAAGTAGCAGATGGAGGCTGACAGTCAGGTGTGATTTTGGGATTCCTGCAGCTCAGTCCTGAGGCTGATCAGAATTATGAAGCACACAAGAACAATCGTGTTAATTACCTCCTGTGCAGACAGGATGCTGGAATTGTCATTCCATCCATGAATTCCCTTTAAGGCAGCAGGAAATAGCCTCTCTTCTGACACATGCCCTCCTCGAGCATGGAGATCATAGAAGAGAGCAGCAAAGCATATTTGAACCCAGAAAAGAAAGAAGGGAGGGGGGGAATGTATTTTTTTTTCCCAAGGTGTACTTGGTATGGGAAGCATCACAACCATTTGACTGCACTAACTGCCAGATGACACTTGCTCCTTTACTAGACTGCCCTGCTCAACAATCACCCAGATATTCCAGAGGGTCACAAGTTATACCATAGAAAATATGCTCTGTATCTGCTTTTGTTTGGTACTAAAACAAAGCAAAAAACAGGGCAATAGATTATAAAGAGTTTTGGCCAGTTAATTACCTAACACTGGAGGAATACTTCAGCCCAATGTTCATAAGCACTGACTTGAGAAAAGTTTCAAAGTGTTTTATTTGGTTCACAAGCATTTAGTTAAGGCAAAATTTTAATGTTCAGCCATAGAAAACTATTCTTTCTACTGCAGTCTTTTAACTACAATGAATATAATACTGTCCCATATAATATGGAGTAAGAAAGATTTCAGTCACTGAAATGGTCTTCACCATTCTTTTTCTGAAGAAACTTAAAAATGACAGTTAATAATTATGTTCTCATGTATAAGAACCCCTTCAACCCTTGGAGAGATATTCATCACCTTGTAGAGATATGATTAAAGTCCCCATTTGAATACTTTAAAATTTTCATTACATGAAAAGCTTTCATTACACAGGCCCTAAAAGAACCTAAATTATGACCCTTTTTTGAGTCTATTTTTTCACAAGGATCAATTTCAAACTGGTGGACACCAATATTCATTCCAATCTTCTACTCATTTAAGTTCTTAAATATCCCTAATGTATTTTCAATGCAGCAATGAAACGAATCAAATAAATACTAAGAAGGAAATATGTGACATTATTGTTGCAACTTGAAGTTGGTTTTTTTTGTAAGAGACTCCATATTTCCTGTGTTTTCACCAGAAAATCAGTAACCACTCTTCTCCACAAAGAAGTTTAAAAATGTAATCTTTTAATTTTATGCTAAAATTCTGTGATTCACCTCCATGGAGTAGCTGTCTCATTCCTATCAGTTCACCCAAAACACTGAAGTAACTTCTGCTGCATGAATTATCATAAATCTCATAGCAATTGTTACTCTTTTTACTGT